CAATTCCACCTAGTACAACTTCTGGCCGCTACTCCCGCCGCGCAGCAGCGTAACGTGTACTCCCGGCATCCCAGTTCTTTGTACTTGCGTATCGGTAAGACGTGCTGTCTTGAGATCAAAGTTTACTTAGTTTTTTAAATATTCTTTGCACCCACTATCCATCATGGTTGGTGAAATATGTGGCTAGTGATGATAGATTTGAGTACCCTTAAAATGATGTTGAATAACGACTTACGAACATTTCAAGTTACGAACATAACGTTTGGAACGTAACTTATTCATAAGTAGAGGACACACGTCACAGTAATATGGGTTATAAGCCACACCCACACTCTGGTCTGCCTGTGACTTCTGCCTGTTACCCCTGTGAGGGTAGATATCTGAGGTCTCTCTTGCTGTCTAAAGGAACTGTTAAGACGAGTCAGCCTGAACCGTGCCACCGCAGTGATCACTGTAACTGATACTGATCACTGGATCATCTGAAAAGAGTTTGTGAACATCAGCTGGCAACAGGATCGTTAAACAGGATAGCAAGTGGGGACAAAGGTGCATTAATAACAGCCACATTAAAACTCGCAGTCATTACAGCAGCCTGGGGCGGCAGACGATATGTTTACGACTCTGCCTTTAAGTCTGCGAGGTACTTTTTGTAAGTCTTTGTAGCGGGCATTTAACGGCTTGTCGTTTGTTTCTGTGGTTTTACGTTTCAAAGGGAAAGGAGCACCTTGTTTAAAATGTTTGAAAACAGCCCTCTGTTCTAGTTAAGTTCTCTAGTAGCCCTATTTGTTCACACACAAAGCAGTGGATTGTGCCGAGGGGGCCCGGCCCCAGAGCACATCCAGCCTGGAGGGATCCACTGTCCCCATTGAGGAGGTAGAGGGCCCCCGACAGCCCAGCTATGAGACAATTATCATTTCTGTTTGTACTTGTTAATGACTGGCACTCGTTAATCACCAGCAGTGTAAACACGGTACTTTTCCAACGAGGACTGAAAAAATGTGAACAAAGGGTTGGGGGTGGGTGGGGAGGGGGGGCCACAAGTAGGCGACTGAATTAATGAGCTCAGTCAGTCCTTTAAATCTTTAATGATAAAGAGCTGATTTTGCTCGGAGTGAACCTCCTGATTGGAAATTAATTAGCCCCAGTGTCAGGAGAGTGCAGGGCAGAAACAGGCAGTGTGAACCGCTGTTGTTCCAAAACAAAATGATAAAGGAGAGGGAGGCCAAATGAGATTAGGGGCAATAGAAAAGGTCTGGGGGGCTGAGCGCAACCCCTACTGTGCAGGAAAAGCAGCGCGAGCCATCTCAGCGCGCCTCGGAGGGGCCCGCTCCCACGCACAGCCCATTCACACGCCCTTTTGACTCTGACATGAAAACAGGCTGAAAGGAGGTCTCTCCACAGTTCACCCGTCAGCCTGCAATGAGGCGGAAGGCAGGGGGTGCTGCTGAGGGGGAGCGGGCGGGCATGGCGGCGGCCGTGGCGGAGCCGGCAACACCGGCTCTGTGTGGGGGTGGCGGTTGGGGCTGGTTGCTGGAAGCTGGCTGAGGCTGTGTGTGTGTGGGGGGGGGGGGGTTACTGTGAGCAGTGCCAGCTCCGGGCAGAGCCGGGCCGTGGAGGCGCGCGTCTCCAGCCCCTTTGTGCGGGTAACGCAGTGTGACACCAGAGGAACAAAGGCAGATTCATGGGCTCAGCAGGTAGCGCAGAGCAGCTCAGGCCCCGGCTCACAGCCAGTCCTCCTCGGGGCCCGCGGGGCCCGGCCCACGCTGGGAAAGGCGTCCCGGGGTCTGCCGGGGCAGCCGGGGACACTCGGTGGGCCGGGGAGAGCGCAGGGATATGCTGGATGGCAGGACGTTACTGTGAGAACATGCCAATGGCTGGCCAGGTTACGAGGCTGCCAACCGCGATGTATGCTAGGGAATATGGCTTATCAGTATTTATTCGTGATAGACTGAAGTCTCGTACATGGTGTCCCCTGCCCTGTGCATTCTGGGATAGGCTCTGGGTTCACCACCACCCTGAACTGGATTTGTGATATGAATGGATGGATAGATGGATTTGTGCTTACTGTAGCCCAACAGCAGGCACTTTTATCCAAAGTAAGTTCCACAGGTCATTAAGCTCTACTGGATCTATCTGGATCAAAAAAAGAGGCGCCCCTTTCTGCGGGATTATGGGAGTCACAATAGGGAAATCACCGCTTTCCTCCCGTGAGGAGTTTCGCTGACGAGATGGTTTCCGGCATAGCTAACCTCGGTATGTTCAGGACTCCCGAGAGACTCATAGTGATGGTGTGAGTGTGGAAGCATCAGAGGTCCTGTCTGTGACCCACAGCAGCCGCTGTGTCCTAGTGCAGCTAACAGCCTGACAACTGAGGGGGGGGGGGCGTGCTGTGAGACGGAGTCTAGCAGGTCTGTCAGAGAGGGGGTGTTGGCCCCCCGCCCCGGGCGTGGATTGAGGTTGGAGCAGGCCCACATCGCCGGCTGCCTGGCAGCCTGAAACAATGGCATCAGGTTACATAATAAGCTGTTGCGTTCACAGGGGGCGTCGTCAGCGGTGCTCAGAGCACGCCCGCAGAACCCTAACACGCACAGCTACAGCCCAGCCGCACAGGCCCCGCACATGCGGGCATTCTAAACGCACCTTAACACACAGCGTTAGGCTGCTCTGTGACGTGACAGTACTATCAGGAGATGGGCGGGCTTTGTGACTGGACTGCAGCTGTCCGGGGCGGGGGGGGGCTGTTACAGAGTGTATGCTCTCTTTTTCTCCACTGAAACACACTCCCTGTGCTCCTGCTTAGCCTCGTTGTGTGATTCCATCGGCTCGTTTTTGGTGCTGGCTTGTCAGAAGCATCTGTGAATATCACTGACAGGGTCTCAGGTATTTACTCTGAGCACAGAGCAAACTGAAACCTAAACGGGGTGTGTTATCCTGACGGGGATCACGTCACTTTAAATCCAGTGCCTGCTCGTACACAGATGGGTCGAATAGTTAGCCCATAATAAGCAAGATTTGGCCGTAAGTAGAGAAGCCCCTGTTGAATGGAGCTGCCCCATGCTGGTTTTCCTCTTCACGCTGCTTACTTTCCCAACTCCAGCTGAGTTAATCCAAGTGCACGGGGGCTTTCTCATATCACTGGAGGTAAAGTGACCTGCTGGTGCTGTGTTGCTCAGCAGGTGATTTTATACAACCGAACTGTTTGGAGTTCATTTTTACTGCAACAATTTAGCCTATCCAATGGGAGTCCTGGGAAATCAACCTAAATTGTCATCCTCTGAACTCAGATCCTTGACCACGAAGCAACTTATTCATAAAAAGTGTCGTCAGCATTATTCCCAGTGGTTAAGATGCCAGTTTAATCAGAGATCTGATGCTGTTCGTACCCTTTAGCGTGACTAAAGTTCTCCAGACATATCAGAATCAGAACCAACTTTACAGAATTCATTCAAGCGTAATGGGTCACATTAAAATAAAAACTAAATTACAAAAATAAACACTAAAATAACACAACATAGAGCTAACCACCCAGCAACATAAGATGTATATATTCATGCAAAGGATGAGGAGGGTGTAACAATGGAGGGAATATGAAGTGATAGAGTGTGAAAGGAATTGTTCCCGTAAGGTGAGACATGCTAGATCGACAACTTACTGTAGAAACAGAGGGTTTATGGCTCAGCATGTTTATGGCTCTGGAGAAAAAGCTGTTCCGATATTGAAAACTTTTACCTTTGAGTGACCGGAAGTGTTTAGCTGAGGGTTGTTTTGGAATTATCGGACTGTTTCGCAGTGATGTCTGCCCAGACTGATTCTCGATCTCCGATCCCCGTCTAGCCACGCGGGAGTCTGCCTTCGTGCACGCCATTGCCTCGGCAGGCGTGGCCTTCGCCGTCACGCGCTCCTGCTCCGAGGGGACCTCAACCATGTGCGGCTGCGACTCCCACCACAAGGGTCCCCCCGGGGAGGGCTGGAAGTGGGGCGGCTGCAGTGAGGATGCTGAATTCGGGGTCCTGGTGTCCCGCGAGTTCGCCGACGCCAGGGAGAACCGCCCGGATGCCCGTTCTGCCATGAACCGGCACAACAACGAGGCAGGACGCACGGTAACGACTGCCGGTCTTTCTTTGGCTCTTGGGGCTGACCGCCGATCCTGGGCGATCTTGGGGTCTTAAACATTCATGTGTTCATTTTGTAATTCTCAACATAAATTGTAAGGCTGAATAGCAACGTGTGCTGAGGCTATAAAATACATTCCTGTAGTTACCTGCAGTTACCTGTAGTTACCTGTAGTTACCTGCAGTTACCTGTAGTGGAATTCAGCTGCATGACAAGTGAACCAACCACAGCCACACATGAGACACCCAACATATAACACGTAGGAGGTGTGCTTGGCTGGAGAAAGTCCAAGGTGCTCACACCACTCAAGCTCTCAGTGACTTAGAGAAGGAGAAAATAAATGACAGAAAGAGAATGTATTGTTTAAAAAAAAAAAATAAAAAAAATCAGTGGTGTTGTGGGAGGGGTTTGGAGAGGCTGAGGGGCAATTGGAGAGACCACACGGTAACAAGGCCCAGCTTTGATCTGGGCTGACAGCGGCCGGGAGAACAAAGGTGCTCACACTGCCGACCCCCTGCCCGGCCCCCGCCTGATCCCCGTCATTCACGGCTGGGCTTGGGCTCCGACTCTCGCAGGGGCCCTGCGGAGATGCCTGTGGCCCGGCAAGCCTGGGACATGACATCAGCCCCCGGTAAGCCGAGGTGCCGCAGTCACCTGCCCATCCTTCCCCCCCCACAGCTGGGGTGGGGCGAGGGGGAGTCTAGCTGCTTTATAGAAGCAGCTGAAAAAAAATAGATGCACACCAGTTGTGATTTGCCTTGTTCCCCTGACATGTCGCCTACAGAGTTCCCTCACCTCACCGAAACGTCGACACGTACAATTAATATGCCGTCTTCAGAGCCCTGTGGCCCAAACCACCTGTATGTCTCCCCCAGGAGTCGGGACTGAGCCAGATTTGTCAAGGGCAGAGCCAAAATTGTCAAGAGTCTTTCTGTGTTTTTGAAATGCATTGACGTTCACATTTTTTTGTGGATTTGCCTTTAAGCACATGGCTGAGTATCTGTACCGGGTGAGGGATCTCCTTTCAGCCGGGTGTATCACGGGAACCTGAGAATCCCCGTTTGCCTTTTTCTGAAGCCGTCCTTCTGTCTCCATCCTGACAGACCATCCTGGATCACATGCACTTGCGCTGCAAGTGCCACGGCCTGTCGGGTAGCTGCGAGGTGAAGACGTGCTGGTGGGCACAGCCGGACTTCCGCATGCTGGGCGACTACCTGAAAGACAAGTATGACAGCGCCTCCGAGATGGTGGTGGAGAAGCATCGTGAGTCGCGGGGCTGGGTGGAGACCCTGCGCGCCAAGTATGCCTTCTTTAAACCGCCCACGGAGCGCGACCTGGTCTACTACGAGGGCTCGCCCAACTTCTGCGAGCCCAACACCGAGACGGGCTCCTTCGGCACGCGCGACCGCGCCTGCAACGTGTCGTCACACGGCATCGAGGGCTGCGACCTGCTCTGCTGCGGCCGCGGCCACAACACGCGCACCGAGAAGCGCAAGGAGAAGTGCCACTGCATCTTCCACTGGTGCTGCTACGTCAGCTGCCAGGAGTGCATGCGCGTCTACGACGTGCACACATGCAAGTGAAGCCTGCAGCTGCACGGGGGCGAGATGGGGGGGCACAGACTCACGATGACATCACACGCATACACCTCCACAGGACAGCTTCCCAGGCACAAACTCCCATAATCAAAAGCACTTCCTACTGGAAAGTCTGGCAAAGTCCGACCGTGAAGCAGCAGCACGCTTCCCGATCCCAACGTAGTACTTCACCTCTCCCTGTCCCTCACAACGCTGGGATCCCCCCCCCCCCCCCCATCTTTATTTATTTCTCTACCCCTCCATGACTCACCACTTTCTTCAGCACTGGGGTCCATACAGCTGGCAGGAACTGTTGGTAGCTCAGGTGCTTTGACCTTCCCTGCTGCCCAGGACTCCGCCTCCCCCCCTCTTGACCAGTACTGGCCCAGTGCGTCTCATCCCAGCAGCCAGGCGCTCGACCGCCAAACGCGCAGAGCACTGAGGCCACTGGATGCTCCGTAGCCCGGGATGCATTACTGACCTGCTCCTCATTTCCACACACTGTGCTGTTACAGTTTAGAGGACCTGGTTTTATAGCTATGTTTCTGAGATCTGACCATTTTGCAGGAATTGATGTCACACAATGCAAAATGTAACTTTTTCTTTTTTGATGTTGTTCAGAAGTCTAACGGCCCACAGAAAATACACACCATACTTCACAGGCACCCTCCTGTTATCCAGGTTTATACCCCATACAACTGTGATGATTAATTTTCAAAGCTGTGCCAGTCAGAATATAAATACATTCCATACGTCCTAATAAGAAAAGTAGGCATGTCTTATCATTCAGACCCTTTCTATGTTTAAGACAGAAGTGGAACTTGTGCCCTTTAAAAACAATAGAGGACATTTCAGACCACGACTGAGATCACCTAAAATGTGAGATATTAATAATGAAATAGCATATGTGCATGAAGCCTGATGGAATTTGCACTTAAGATATAAGAAAAATAGTAGCAGTAAGAAAAAGGCTGTCGTCCTGTAACCCACTTACCTTCTCCATACTACAGTGAATTCTTCCTCCCTCCCACTCCACACACAAAGAAGGAGACTCACAAGTGGGCTGCAAAACAGCCCTGGGGAACAATAAGCATATATGGATGCATAGATGAGCAATAACAAAACTAGACAGCTTAACCCCGAGTCCTGCCTGTGACAAGCAGCCTGTAAACTGAGGGAATCTGGCTCAATGTGTGTGTGCGTGCGTGTGTGTATGTATGTGTGTGTATGTATGTGTGTGTGTGTGTGTGACGGCTGGAGGCAGGCAGGACGGCGCAGTGCAGTGGGGGCGACCAGCTTCACGACATCGGCAGCAGTCGCCATGGTTTCCACACGACATGTTCAGACAGCTGAAGTGCTTCCTAGCAATTATATTTAACAGCAAACATACAAGTTACAATTTAGAGTAGGATTTTATCCCCGTGACGTAGTCTAGTATCCACACTGTCCTCTAAAATACCCTCTTTCTCACTTCCTCTGTTGTTTTACTTGTTTTTTTGCTATATCCAAAGTTTTGTACAAAGTTTTAATAAGTCCCTTTTTATTTTATAATCTGAAAATGCTATGTTTTTATAAATATTATTTATTATACAATGTATATATCTGTATGACTGAACTAAGATTATATATTTGAAGAAAAATTCTTGTCTCATTCTTTTACTTCCAAGCCTTATACATCTTTTCAAGTTTGACAGGAACGTGGAAAAACGTGTATACAGGCAATGAAATAGACACCTCAGTTCATTATTCCACTGCAAAATGTACTTAACTGTCTGACATAGTCTTAGACCTTACATAATAAAATGAGCATGACATTATCTATAGTTAAATTAAAAAAAGGCTTTTTTGTTATTTCCATACGCCATGATCCTGGATAAAAAAAAAAAACTCTGAATGCAAACAGCACATAAGGGAATAGAACATGGCTTTTAAAGAATAAAGGAGGGCAGATGTAAAAATAAACAAAAACTACATGCATGGAGATTCTTTTTTTTTATTATTAAGTTTCTAAAGCACAATCTGTAATTATATCAGTTTAACATTGGAATTGGTTACATTTGCATAACCATGCTCTGCTGTAGGTGCTCTGTCCACAGTGTCTGCTTTTAGTGTTCTCACTTGATGACATGAACAGGGGGGGAAAAAATCACACACACACACACACATACACACACACACACACACACACACACACACATACACATACACATACACATACACATACACATACACAAAATCTCTTCGCATTTTTATTGAAACATCACATTTGAATCCTGCCACTTTACATGAGAAGCAGCTTTGGACTCATGCTTACAGTAAAAACGCTACAATAAAAATTTGTAGAAAATATCTGCAATGTAGACCCAATGCACACAGTCCAGATGCAAGCATATGTGCACACAAGACTGATCCACACATGGAATAAAATCCCCTTAAACACACCTGACAGCCGTGAGCTGGGACAAAACACTGCTTTACACTGCCCATGTGTCTGGTTAACAAACACAGCATCTACGGTACATGTGCACAGCCTGCTGTTCTCATTTCCCTGGCAAACTAATTACTCACAAGCAACCTCAGAAATGTTCAGCACATGCAAGGAGACACACCGCCCCTCACGTCAGCATCCCGCCGGCTGAGACAGACACATCTCCCCCATATCGACACCAACAAATCAGAGAGACTAAACATCCACTAAGTGAAACACAAATTCAAGGAATGGTTAATACATTCTATAGATTCAGACAGCATAATTTAAAAAATGTAACTGGATTAATCTAATTTGAATCACAACAGATGTTTTAGAGAAGAATACGGCTATACAAATTTCTGCAAAGGAAGAGAATACAGTTTTCTCAGCGAGTTTCCCAACATAAAGAAGGTATTCCCACAATGCACTGCATGTTCATGGTCAACATCAGTAAATCTGTGAAGAGCCTGTTCACTTGGATGGACTGAGGAACAAGGGCTGAGGATAAATGGGCACTAGGCAGTACATGCCACTTTAAATCAGCAGACACTAGTCCTTCACATTCAGAGTGCCTGACAACAAACCACAAGCACTTCTCCTCAACAATGCTATAAACATTTATTGTTATTCTCAAGTGCAATTTAAACTAATTCAAGAGCAAGTTAGAAGACTTATAATGCATTGTGAATCAAATATTTAAAAATAACCAGATGCCGAACTAGACGTCAGTATATCGAGTCATGCACTTTCAGGGGTATTCCCAGGGAATGCTGTTTGATTTTGTGTCTCAGGCCACCATTGAAACAGATACTGTTAGAAACATGCATGACTTGCTTTAAGTATTTGTCCTAAGTAGTTTTATACTTATACAATGTGCTGAATCTCAGTAATCACCTGCATGCCTACACCAGTGGGGTATCAAATTCATAAACAGTGCTCTTTAATGGGGGGGGGGGGGGAAATATCGATGGCAGTGTCAACACTAAGACTGGAGCTGACAGATCAAGACTGAGTAACGCTTCTTTGCGCGGATCAAACACTCACTAACAATGATGTTAATTTAAATTGTCAATTTAAGTTATTCATTATAAATACACTCACACAATATATAGATGCATACATAACATAAACACCGAACAGGTACACCTCTACACAGCATAGAATGTATATTTTATATCCACAAGCATGACTGTATCTGAGTTTATATTAAAATACTTCACATATATGTGCAAATATATACCTGCAACATAGAACAAGACTGCAATGGCAACAGAACGGGACACAGGCTGTTTTTAATTCAAATTATACAAGAGTGACTAAAACTATATAATAAACGTATAGTAATAAGTTACTCACTGCTCGATAGTTAGGGGAGATTTATACAGTAGTAGCTACTGAAAACATGCAGGCGGGCAGTACAAAACTGAGGCCATTTAGGGCGGAGGGGGACACATCGCACTTACTGTCAGATTGTCAACATTTATAAGAGATGAAATGTATGATCTCTGCTTCTTGATGTCTCAAAGTCTCCCTGTGTGTTGGATATGGAGGGCGCTCTGCTGTCTACAGGAAGGAGAAGCAAGGGACAGTAAGCGGGGTGAAAACCAGAGCTGGAGCTAAGGGGCGCAGCCTAGGCATTGTGCTACGGTGCTGCTGCACGCAATGTTTAACATCACCTGTGCAGCAGTGTGTAGGGATGGGTCCACCAACATTTTTTCAGTTCCGATCTGATTCTGATACAGAACTGCCGATACCGATACAGATTCCGATAAAAGACCTTTTTTTACTTTAATATCTTAATTAATAAATATATATTTATACTTGTGATACACGAGGGGCTGTTATCACAAGCTGAGTACACAAAAGAGCCCAAGCTACATGTAGCTCCCAAATCATCCATTGCTGTTTCCATATTACTCGCATTGTCTCGCACGATTCCGTGAGCTTTGTTCAGTGGGATTTTCCAATAAGTGCTGCTTCCACCTCTCAAAGTTTTTACAAATATTGCAAATCACTGTGCTACTAGTTGTTGTTAAAAGCGCAAACTACTTCCAGATGGTCACCCTCTTATCTGATGTTATGCTCATCATATTGCAAATGGTATGCATATAATGTGGGCCAGTGTGTTCAGGTTAAGGGAGGGTCCCTTAGACTGTGCTGGTGTTAGGGGAGAGGATCTGGGGTAGCGTGTTCACATTAAGGGAGGGTCCCTTAGACAGTGCTGGTGTTAGGGGAGAGGATCTGGGGCAATAGAGTTACTAGGCTGAGTAATAATGTTGCTATTTCCAATCAGCACCACACCCAGTGTTGGTGTCACAGGGAATTTCAGCATAGCTACAGTTCTCTTTGACATGTTAACTGTGTGTGAACTATGAACTGATTAGTGCGCAGGACACCTTACCATGAGTTACGGAAGCCTTCAGAAGCATGCGCAGGCTCTCAGACGTGCGCACTGCTGAGACGTCCTCTCAGCCTGGTGATCAGAAAATACAATCATGAGGAAAAGGCCTGAAATGGCAGAGAAACCTTTTGGGGACATCCTGGCACAAGCCACCAATGGGAACAGAGTGTCTGAAAGGCAGCCCATTGGCCCATGTCAGCAAGGCCATCTAACAGCACGTACTGGTTACCCTGAAGCTACTGGAGGCCTCAGACTGGAAACACACAACGCACAAATAGGCAGCTGTACTATTTAAATAATGGCAGGGCCTACGTTCTGTGAAATACATTTGGGACCAATCTACGCATTTCACATTTTGGCAATATATTTCTTAAAAAAAGAACAATGATATTCAAATTCTCAATTCCTCATGTGGTCAGCAACACCTGAGAACTATTATGGATGTATGCAGGAACTGCACATTTTTCAGCGATTGTTTACTTAGAAAATATATTTAACTGCAGTACTTCAGATCTGTTCAGTCAGCAGAATGCATCTTGGGTAAGTCAGTAATATTTAATGGCTATCAATTAATAGGACAAATAAAGGCCGATGTTTATGATCTGCCAATTATCATGCATTTTGACATCTGATAATTAGCAGTTGCCCCTTTTCCACCCTGACCCACATCTTCAAGATCCAGGACCAAAAACCAGCCCAAGGATGCAAGAGGGACATTTAATATGCTTCTGCTCCTGACATCTTTGCATTTTGTTTAGCAACATCACTCTGGCCCCACAAACAGAAGATATATTTATTATTATTATTATTATTATTAAGATCAACGTCACTACATTTCAGCCATTTTTGACTGACCTGAAATGAATCATTTGACTGGCATTTAATAAATACACAGGCTCCCCGACGGGGGCCGGAGCTCAGCCTGCACACGCGACTCTTTTTGGCGGCAGACACTCACGCGCCCTCGTCTCCGAGCAGAGTCAGGAACTTGCTGACCCGGTATTCTGGGTCCATCTGAAACACAAGCAGCCAACACAGACATCCAGGTGAGGGGCTGCTCTCCATCGACATCGCGAGACAGCGGAGTGCGGCTACGTTGCTGTCAGGCTGTACACTTAGCCAAAATTCAGCCCCCCCCTATTACATTTTCCTCTAACAGCATCTTAGGGGGTGAAGCTCAGCTCCCCGGCGTTGTCGCACTGAAGCCGCAGAGCTGGGCTCCATGACGCAACACGTCGGCTCCTCACAAAGACGGAGACGCGGATGGGACTTGGGCCACTGCTGAGCAGTAATCCTTCACCCTGCCAGCCTTCCGCTGGGATCGGGAGAGCGCGTTGGGGGTGGCAGGGAGTGCCTGGGGGTGTCTGCGCTGGGCCGGGATGAGCGGATTACTGCGTGAGAGGGGCTGGTGATAAATCCGCAGGGCTGGGGCATGACGACAGCCATACCTGCCCCAGCAACACGCGGCTGGGGGAAGAAGCGCCCCGGGGTCAAGCCGGTCGGTTCTGCTCCCTAAACTCTGCACATACACTCCAGGAAGGAGACTGGGGGCAGCCCACAAAAACAGACACTCGGCGAGCCCTATGCTGACATATTAGTACTACCAATGACACACAATAGCAATATTCCACTAATTAATTGCTACCCGACCCATTTTAATGGCCTCATTATATGGACAATAAGCCCTCCTACTTAGGGAAGAATAAGAGAACGCCAAAGGGTTGCATTACCATTATTTC